GATACATCATGTACAGGTACAAGCACCCAATGATAAATGTAAATGTATTGTATACCTAAAATGTACCAATAAAAGAATTTTTTAAAAGAAAGAAAGAAAGAAACTGATTCTGCCAGCAACTTGAGCTTGGAAGTGAATTCTTCCTCAGTTGAGCTTCTAGATGAGAACATAGGCAAGCTGACATCTAAGTGCACAAAACTCAGATTCCTGACCAACAGAAACTGTCAGATAATACAAGTTATTTTAAGCTAAGTTTATGGTAACCTGCTATTTAACAAGTGGTAAGTAATACACATACACCAATATGGAGAGTACATTAGTTTTTATTAAGTCCCTGCATGTGGGGCACACCTAAAATCCCAGCATGTGGGAGAGGCTGAGGCAGGAGGATCATGAGCTCAAGGCCACCCTAGGCTACATAGTTCTAAGTCAGCCTGGGGACCATATAGCAAGATCCTGTCTCAAAACAAACAAACAAACAAACATCATATTAAGGAAAACACCTGTGTTGTAGGCAAAGCAAATAGCAGCATCTGTGGTATGGAGAAAGAGGAGGACCTGGTAGAGGAGTAATCTGACCTGACCATCACTAGGGTCTCATCAGAATTTAAGGGGCTTGAACTAACACAGCAGCAATGAGACAGAGCTTGGGCCAGTTTTACTTGAGAGACACAACTATCAATCTCAGTGATTTACTGACTAAAAGAGAAAAGAGGGAGAAGGGAATAGAAAGAGGACTTCAAGATCTCAGCTTGATTTGAGCAGTTAGGGCAAAGGTGATAGAAATACTATCAAGATTAAGAGCAAGAAAACATGTAAGATGACACAGAATATCCAGTTTGGAGTTTAGCATTATTAGTATTGAAAGTGATTGTCTTTCAGAGACACCTTGTTTTCTGTTAAAATGGGTGCATTTTTACAGGTGTTGTATGGATTTACCAAGGATAGTATATACAAAAATCATGAACTGTGCTGTTGGGAGCAATTCTACATAATTTTGGGGAAAAAATCATTTCACAATTAAATCATGATTAGGGCCTAGTTTTCCGCCTACTGGCCAGCTACAGCATGTCAAGACTTAACTCCATCTTTGCCTCTGGTCAGACCTAAAACCTCAATGGTCCAGTGATGCTGTGATTCTCCAGGACAAGATTACACTAACTGAAGACATCCTGAGAGGAACAAAATCTTCATCTGCATAGTTCCTCACTGTTCTAGGATTTTCGCTGCTGCTGCCACTGCTGCCCTTTGAGTCACCTTTTACATCTGTTACTCTCTGGATGTACTGAACTCTTCCTGCCCTGATCATCTGTTACATTTGTTTCTCCTGACGAATGGGGAGTAAAGGTGTGGCAAGCTCTGGGGCTTCCTCTTTGCTGCCCAGAGAAGCACTGATCAGGCCCAAAGCTCAGCTTGTCTTATTTCTTCTATCTTTTCTGTCTGTATATTAATTAATTCACCTTGTGCTGTCGTGGCTCGCAGGAAACTAGGACTTACTGCAGCGGTTCTAGTAACGTCCCCCTTCCCTGTTCCCTACACTATGCTTTCAAATCCTTCTTAAATGGAGAACATGGCCTCAAGGTGCATCCATTGAACTATAAATGGCTCTAGTTTCTCATTCTTTATGGCTGAGTAGTACTCTACTTTATATATATATTTTTAAAAAAAATCTTTATCCAGTCTCTAGTTGATGGGCAATTGGGCAGTTTCCAAGTTTTAGCTATTACAAACTGTGCTGCTATAAACATGTGCATGCATATATTTCTGTGGCATGATTCTTTTAATTCTTTTGGGAAGTAACCAACAGGGGAATAATGTGAAAGGATGAAAAGGTCCAAAGGAGGGGCTGGGGATTTAGCTCAGTGGTTTCGTCAACTGCTGAGCAAGCGCAAGGACCTGAGTTTGATCCCCGGTACCAAAGAAAAGGTCCAAAGGGGAAGGGGAAGTGGGAGGGGTGGGGGAAAGGAAAGAAGGTAATGGAATTAATATGAGAAAAGGAAACAATGGAAATAAAGTCTTTGTAAATAGGGAGGGGTAGAGGGGTTGAAGGGAGGGCAGGGGAATGGGGAAAAAATAAGAACCAAGATATATCATGTAAAGGTACAAATTTCCAATGAGGAATGTCATCATATTGTATACCTAAAATGTACCAATAAACTTAATGAATAAAAAAATTTAAAAAAATATACATAATGAGCACCTTCATCATAGATTTGTACCTGTACATGATGTATCTTGATTCCTTTTTCTCCTAATCTCTTCTTCCTTCAACTCCCCCTCCCCTCCTTATTTGCAAAAGCTTTGTTTCCATTTTTTTCCTTCTTTTCTCATTTTTTTCTTGACCCTTCCTTCTTTTCCCCTTCTCTCCTTCCCACTTCCCCTTTCCTTCTGAACAATTTCTTCCTATTTTGTATTATTATCTGTTATACATTTGGGTCCTTATTTCCCCTTTCAGTTTCTCACACCAGAGAGACAATGCGATATTTACACATATTTTCTTCCATTTCCACTATTTTTCCTGTCCCTTCTTTCTTTTCTACTTCCCTCCTCCCTTGTTCCCCTTCCCATCTGAACACTTTTCTTCCCATTTCCCAACATCTATTACACATCTCTGGCCTTATTTCCACATTCAGTTTCTCACACCAGAGAAACAATGCAGTATTTAAACATATGTGTCCGAATTATTTCACTTAAGAGTATGGTCTCAAAGCTATAAATGTCTGAAGATCATTCTTCTTTATGCCAGAGTAGTGCTCCATTGAATAGAAAAACCACATGTTTATCCACTCATCAGTTGATAGGCATTTGGGCTGTTTCCAAGATTTAGCTATGACAAACTGTGCTGCTATAAACACGGGTGTGCATATATAGCTCTGGTATGATGTTTTTAATTCTTTCGGGAAGATACCAAGAAGAGCTACAGCTGGGTCAAAAAGAACCTCTAGTTTTAGTTCTTCAAGAAATCTCCACACTGATTTCCACAGTAGTTGCACCAGTCTATACTCCCACCAGCAGTGAAGGGTTCCTTTTTCCCTACAGCTGCTCCAGTATTTGTTGTTGGTTGATTTATTGATAGCAGCCATTCTTTCTGGAGTGAGACAGAATCTCAGTGTTGTTTTAATTTGCATCTCTCAAATGACCAGTGATGTTGAACACTTTTTCACTTGATCTTAGCCAAAAGGCCGAGATGAGATGTACACTTGGTCATATATTTATTTGCTGTTTCTAATTCTTCATCTAAGAAGTGTCTTAATTTCAGATGCCCATTTTTGCATTGGGTCTTTAAATTTGGGGGTTTGATTTTTTGGAGTTCTTCATATATTCTAGATAATAGTCCTTTATCTGCATAGTAGGTAAAAACTTTTCCCCACTCTGTGGGTTGTCTCTTCACTCTGTTGGTTTCTCTTACTGTGTAAAGCTCTTTAATAAGATGAGGTTCCAGTTGTTGATTCTTTGTAGTATTTCCTGTGTGTTCTGGGTTTTGTTCATGAAGTCTTAGCCTATTCCTATGTCCTCAAGCATTCTACCTATTCTCTCTTCCAGCAGAGTTAGTGTTTCTGTTTTAATACTTAAATCTTTGATCCATTTCAATTTTAGGTTAGTGCGTGGTGAAAGATATGGGTCTAGTTTCAATCTTTGGCATGTGGTAAGCCAGTTTTTCTAGCACCATTTATTACAGAGGCTATCTTTCTTCTAGTGAAGGTGTTTGGCTCCTTTGTCAAAGATAAAGTGGTAAGTATGTCTGGCATTGTCTCTGCATCCTCTAGTCTGTTCCATTGATCCTCAAGTCTGTTCATTTGCCAGTACCATGCTGTTTTTATCACCATAGCTCTGTAGTATTTTTTTTGGTACCAGGGATCGAACTCAGGTCCTTGCACTTGTGCAGCAGGCAGTGAAACCACTGAGCTAAATCCCGGCCCTCTGTAGTATAATTTAAAGTCAGGGATTGTGATACCTCTGGCTTTGCCTTTGTTGCCCAGAATTGCCTTTGTTATTCTAGGTCTCTTCTGGCTCCAAATGAATTTTAGGATTGTTTTTTTCTAATTCTGTGAGATATGCTGTTGGGATTTTGATTGACAGTGCACTGAATCTGTATAACAATTTTGGAAGTATGGTCATTTTCACTATATTGGTTCTTCCTATCCAAGAACAAGGGATATCTTTCTATTTTCTGATATCTTCTTCAGATATTGACACATTTGTGTCCAATTTATTTCACTTAAGAGTACAGCTTCAAGGTGCATCCATTTAGCTATAAATCTCTCAAGTTTACCCTTCTGTATGGCTGAGTAGTACTCCATTGTATAAAAAAACCACATCTTTTTTATCCATTCATCAGCTGATGGGCATTTGGGTTGTTTCCAAGATTTAGCTATTATGAACTATGTCAGTATAAACATGGGTCTGCATATATTGCTGTGCTTTGATGATGTGTATTTTCCCTTCAATATGAGAGGCACAAGATAGAGACAGACCTTGAACTCTGGGAGATATTAGTGGCATGATTTCCATTAGCAAATTATAAATTCAAACCATTTGACCTATGAAACTATTACTTAAAAGATAAATCTATTTATACAATCTACTATATGTATCTGAAGCAAAATGTCATAGAAAGTATTTCAAAAAGATAAATTATTGCTTATCATGACAATGAATTCTTTGTTACTCTCAATTTTAAAAACTCAGCATATATAAAAAAGGTTTAAAATACTCCCAAAATATTAATAGATTTTTCACAGGCAGTAGAATGGTTTCTCTTTTCACTTAACTGTATTTTATAAATTTTCAAAATTGAAAACAAAACTTCTTGCAAAGATATTTAAGACAACTTACGCTAGAACCATGTTGTAATCTGAGTGATTGAACATATATCCTCCGACAATCCACATTATATTTCCAATGACCACAGCTTTATGAGAAGCTCTGGGGAGCTTTAAATTAGAACATTCCTCTCGCATCCAAAATGACTGGTTAGCTGGCACAGGAACTGAACATCCAGGACCTAATAAAATATCATAAATTAGCTTCATAAACTGCAGCTTAAAAGTTTATTGCCTTTCAAGTTTTAATCATCTAAATGTAACAATTTTTTTTTTTTTTTGAGGCAGGATCTCACTCTGCAGTGCATGCTGGCCTTGAACTTGTGGGACTCCTCCTGCTTCAGCGATGGGATTACAAGCATGTGCCACCATTCCCGGCAGTGTAACAAATATTTAAGGAATATTTTGTCTTTCTTTTAGCAATCCATCAGTCAAATCTTTTTGCTTTTTTTTCCCTTTTCTTTTGTAAATCTTTTTGCTTTTAATTCAAGGTATTAACCAAGGGTAACCGCTAATAAAATACAAAATTACACACTGATGACTTGGCCATACCCAGGTTAGGTGTTTTCAGTAATGAAAAATAGGTCTCAGAGAAAGACTACACAGAAGAATTATTTACTCAGCTAGGCTTTGTGGCACATGCCTGTAATCCCAGCACTCTGGAGGCTGAGGCAGAAGGATCATCATGAGTTTGAGACCAGCCTGGGTTACATAGAAAGTTCAAAGCCAGCCTAAACTACAAAGTGAGGCCTTGTCTCAAAAAACAAACAAAAATATTCAAATAAAAACTTCAGGGCTAAAATGTAAAAACTAGACCTGGGAATAATAATAAAAAATATTTCTGGAGCTGGGGATTTAGCGCAGTGGTTCCGCTGCCTGCTTCACAAGCGCAGGGTCCTGTGTTCGATCCCTGGTACAAAAAAGGAAAAAAAAAGGAATTTAACAGAAGCAAGAGACTTCCTTCTTGGAAATCTGAGCTTCTGCTGCAATATCTGCAAAGTGGAAGGTACTCAAATACTCCAACTATTAACTCCTCATTATCAGCCAAACGCAACAAACTAAGGCATTTAAACAAGCACATTTCTTTTCAAAATGAAAAGGTTATGAGCAAGGTATAAGCATATAAAAAAATACACTACATCAATAATAACTATCTTCACTCATTTCTTAAAGAATCTCCTAAGACTCCTTCAATTATCTGTTTCTGTAGATAATGCCATTAAGTGACTGCATCAGGACTCTAATGTACAACTGATCCAAATTTTCTCTGAACTTAGAGGAAATTTCTAAGGAAACAGCTTTATTGTCAGCTCTTCTTCCACCTCCTAGCTTGGTTCTCAGCTATTGCCACCTTATGGCTGAGACCAAATCATCCAACTTTCACAAATGAGTTGCAAAAAATAACAATCCGTCTATAACTCAAAGGAGACCACTTTCACATATATATGAAACTGAATGATTTGTAAGAAAGACAAAGGGATATGAAAGTTTAAATGTCATCTGATATTGGTTAACGTACACTGTACAGATGCTGAGCATAAAGCCCACTACAATTTATTAAACAGGGAACATGCTGTGAATTGAAAGAAAAATATAAATAAAAGAAGTGCCTACCCTGCCACTCAGAGAAGCAGGAGCATCCTCTGACATCACTTGAATTGCAGATGCCTCGGTGAGGAAAGCCACAGTTGTCTGTACAGTAAGGAATGTCACACGATTCACCTTTCCAGTTTTCATAACACTCACATTCAACAGTGTTGCTGCTGTTACTGATCTTACACACTCCTCGGGCTGAGCAATTGTTTGGACACATGTCAAAACTATAAAGACAACGGGGAAACTAAATGAACGTAAAGCAATGCTTCAATTAATGTAGCAAAATTTCTTCCTATACAAGTTTTAAGGATCTCTCTGCCTCTTCTGTTCACTCACAAATCCAACTGTAGTACTTAGCAAATGGGGGCACTAAACAGTGCATAGCTAGGGCCTGAGATACAAGTTATCAAATCAAATCAACTCTTCTGGATCTTCATAAGAAAAGGGTAAGAATAAGTAACTCATACAGTTAAAGGAATTATGAGAGAAGAGATTCGTGAAAAATTGTTCAGACTTAACTCCTTCAGGCTGGGACAAGTACTCTTGTAGCCTATTAGTGATGAGCGTTACATAACAGCAGAATTCACACTTATAAGTGGGGGGGGTTAAAAGAAACTGCTGACAATATACTCATGATACATAAAACCCTGGATAATTTCTGAAACTTGTAGAATTTAAGATTATTGTAGATTATTGCCCAGACTGATGTAAAGTTCCTTACTAACTGTATCTACTTGATTTCAGATGGAAGAAAGCAGGCCAATTTAACTTAATTTACTAACCATAATATGTCTTATAACATGTCCTTTGATAATCATATTGCAAACATTTTGAAATGACATAATTCACATTTTAAAGATACTTTAAGAATACAGATTTTTCTACTACTGAGTATATGACAACTGCTAATATTTGTTAATTGTATTTAGCAAAAACCCCTGATGTTTTTATTCATTAGTGGGAAAACACCCCTCTTCCAGGAGAACCTCAACAGCAGCAACACCTGAGTTAAAACTGTGCTCCATCATCACCACTTACACTGACAATTATTAAGATTTTTATGTCAGTTTCAATTATACAATGAGTGGAAAAATACTGCTCACAACTGAGTTTTTAAAAGAATTTTAAATGAGAAAACCTAGAGAAACTGTGTAGCACTACACCTGCCATGCTGTAAGCCCCCAATATAACAGTATTAGTCATTATCATTAAAATCACGAACATTAGATTTAAATATCTTACTTGTAAGTGATATTAAATCCAGTCAAATTATAAGCAGCATCACTAAAAAAATGCAGCAGGGCATAACCTGATGTGACAACAACCTCAGGTACAGTCTCGTTGCTATCTCTCTCGGGAACAATGAGGCCACTGAAAGGGAAACATACTTCTTATAGGTGAAGCACAATCACAGACACATCAAACTGGGAATTCATCTTTACAGTTTTAAAAGCCACATCCAGGAAGAAGCACACATTTCTGCGATCAATGCACAGAGCTTCCCTATTAGTTCTGGGTCTAGTTAGTTCTAGACTGAGGAACAGCTCTGAAACATTTTCTAGGCTTCCTTTATTAGAGGTGTTTTGTTTCGTTTTTGTGGTACTGGGGACTGAAGCCAAGGCCTTCGTACTGAACTACATATCCTCAGCCCTTTTGTTTTTTATTTTGAGACAGAGTCTCACGAAGTTGCTCAGGGTGGGCTTGGACTTGTAATCCTCCTGCCTCAGCCTCCCTGAGAGCTGGAATTACAGGCATGGGCTACCATACTCAGCTGACATAAAATATTTTTATACATAATATTTATTTAAAAAAGCTAGACAAACTCATAACCCCAACACAACCGGCATTCTCATGTATTTTCTTTGTCCAACTGGTACTGCTTGTATTTTTTTTTTTTTTCTTTCTTCGTTTATTTATTGTAAGGTAAGGTTCACTACAACCGTGATTTTTGCTAGCTTTGCTCCCTGCTGTGTCTTCTGCCTTTGGAAATATGCCTGGCACATAAAAGATAGGCAGTGAATGTGTGTTGAACTATTGGATGGACGAATGGGAGATGCAAAGGAGTCCCGGAGACCCCGGGATGCAGTTGGGTTCCCGTGGATGTGTGGTGCAAGTCTCCCACGGTTTTTCAGTGTGCTGTCCTGTTTGGGGTACTCAGGGCAGGTGTTTTAGCTTCCAGTTAATTACCGTGAGTAGGGTCTTCCAATTCTTTCCTTAAGAGGATTAGCATGGGCAGTGTCCTTTTCAAGATGGCAAACACGGGGCCCGGGTGCAGGTCAGCGCTGGAGCATTTCCCTGGCCCAGCACGGCGGGCCTCGTGGAGGCTGATGTCCCTCTGCAGCTAGCAGTGGAGCATGAATTGTCTGTCTTATGGAATCAGTTATAGCTGGGGATTGTTGGGCTCTAGGCGGGTCATACAGGTCTTGGTGCTTTAAACTGAGCACATTCTGGCTGCTTACAAACATTTTAATGCAAAAAGAATGTGAAAATTGATTGAAGCAGTTCGGTGCATTATGCTTTGGCAGGATTTTGCATTTGAATTATCACCCCACCAATCTATTTTTTTTTTTTTTCAAAAGTAAGGAGCCCAAGCAAGTTGTAATGAATCTACTGGTGAGCATAGTCCTGTTGTAAATCCGGGGAGATCAGTGGGAAGAGCATAAGGGCCCAACACAAAACAACAGGAAACCAGAAGGGCCCGCCGGGGGCGGAACCAGGACATCTACGCCAGGCCACGCGGTGCTGGCATGGAAGGAAAGGACCTGTCCCGTGCATTCGATCGGGTGAAAATGGCAGTTCACAGCACCTGGGGTCGCGGCTGTCCTCAGAACCCGCGCCCACGAGCTCCCTGGAGACTGCGGCACGGGCGCGAGGCCTCCTCCAGCGTCCTGACGCGGGCAGCTCCCAGCAGGCAGCTCCTGCCCACGTCCCCGGGGTCGCCTCCTCGGTTAGCAGAGCTGGAGCCTCCCGGGGACCGGGTCAGGATGGAGAAAAGGCTCCAAGTCAAACTCCTCTTTCGCCACCCGCGACGGCGGGGCGGACTCGTGGGGTCTCGAGCCTGGTTTTGGGCCGCGGCGGCCAGACTTCTAAAACCCATTCTTCCTTACTAGATTCTGACTTCAAGGAAACGAAACATCTAAATACTTTCTATGTCTCGTGTGCCTGGTACTTAGGAACTTTCTGGTGCGGTCTATGGCCTTCACCACGTCTCTGTTTGGCAGACTGCAGGACGCGAGCCCGCAACGTGAGACGCTGCTGTCGGGTACACCGCACGTTCCAAGCTCAAAGAGCAAGCGCCTGTGTCAAAACAATTTGTTAAGAGAAAAACAGCTGCTTTACGCCCTCACCTAATCTTCTTAGTGTTCGATTTTCTGAAATCTGAGTCTGTCCTGGAAGACTGGATTATAAATGGCCCGGGCTGACCTCTAAAGAGGAGTTTTTGTTATGCTTTTTGTTGTTGCTACCGGTACCCCTGCTGCTTTTGGATGTGACAAGGAAAGTTCTAGAGCGCTGTGGGGGAAAGCAAAATACAGAAGGGCAGGGCGAGGTGAGGGAGCAGAGACCTCATGAAGGGGGAGCTCTGACTGGCAGGGCGGGTGTCGGGGAACGGGTGTGGAGCCCCTTGCTGTAGAAGTTTCCTTTGACTGAGAGCCGGTGACAGGAACTGGCTCAGAGCGGGGACTCAGGCGGTGAGAACGCCGTCATTCAGAATGGAGGGACTTCCCTGCCAGCCGAGACCCAAATGCAGGTAGGGTCCAGAGCCCGGGCCGTCAGGCCGCCCTCCCTTCGTGGAGGGGCCTCTGCGCTCTGCTCAGGGTCCTGCCGCTGGGGGCGCTGGGTAGGCCTCAGAGAGCCGGGCCCTGCCTCCCTTTCGCTCAGGGCCAGGGAGGATCACCCGCACAACTTCCAGGCTTGCTTCTTCAGATATACTGGGGGTCTGTCATTACCCTAAAATGTGATTGGGAGAAACTTGGTACCTCAGGATCAGGTTTGCGTAGGTAAGTTTTGTTCCCTCAATCCTCCAACACACACACACACACACACACGCACACATGCACACGCAAGCCTACATGTGTCCGATCAGCGGCTCGCACATGCAGAGGCTCTGATGACATGGAGACTGGCAGGAAGCATGGGGAGCAAAGGTGGCCTTGCTTAGACTTGTACTCGGGGTGGGGAGGCAGGAGGGCCACTTCCGCCGTGGCTGCCCTCCCTACTGGGCGTGGAGCCCCTTCAGGTACTCGGACCTCACGGTGCTGACTGGAGCCTTGTGGAACCAGAGCATGACTGGGATTCCGTCCGGCCCCACCAGGAACTTCTCAAAGTTCCAGCAGATGTCGTGGACCTTCATGGGCTCCCAGGAGCGCAGCCCTGGTGACCCCAAAAGTTCAGAGGTTGGAGGGCAGGAGTTCTTCAGAAAGGTGAAGACCTTCTGTTCGTTTTCTCCATTCACATCCCCTTTCTCAAAGAGCTGGAAACTGGGGACAAAGCCACCACCTGGACGCACATATCTGAGCCCAGAGAGGATCTGCAAGTTCTTTCCTGGTTCCTGTCTTCCAAACTGGTTACAAGGAAAGCCCAATACAACAACACCCAAACTTCGCAGCTCGTCCTGCAGTGCATTCAGTTCAGGGTACTGGGCGGTCAGGCCGCAATAGGTGGCCAAGTTGACGAAGAGGACATGCTTGCCCGAGTACTTCGTGAACTGGACGTATTCCTCGCCCATGAGGGTCAGGGCTCTGTACTTGTAAATGGTGCCTGGCACAGCTTTGTTGCAATCCATCTTCATCTCCTGCGCGTTTGGGGTGTCCTGCGCAAGGCCTAGCAGGAACAGCAGGAGGAGGCCGAGGCCTGTGGCTGAGAGCACAGGGCGCATCTACTACTTGTATTTTATTCTACTTTACAAATACTATGCCATAAGCAATCCTTGTCACTTAAAGTTCCCCAAGCTCAATAAGGACCTCACTCAGAGGCTAGGCATAATATTATAAATAAATATGAGTACCAATAAACCCAGGGAAGGAGAAGTCCTGAATCAAAGGGTCTAAATAAAGGCTTTAAGGCTTTTGGTCCATAATACCAACTTTTTTACCAGATGAGAGATGTTAACTTGATATCCTGTCAATACAAAGTAAAAGGATCCATTCCATCTCACCCTACCAACAAAGACAAGTACTAGTTCTAGTTTAGTTTTGCTAATGTAATAAATGAAAAAAGTTTTTAAATTATCATTTGAGTTCTTTTGTACTCCCAAGGTTAATCACTTTCCTTACGTTTATTTGCTATTTGGATTTCTTCAAATGCCTGTGACTTCTGCCCCACTATTGACTCAGCACCAAAACATTCAGTCAATGCCTAGATCTCTATCCAGTCCCATGGAATGTGCTTCACACACAGAACCCACCCAATATTCTATTCACCCACATATTCTATTACTCTCTTCCTTTACTCACTCACTCCTAGCCCTCTTGCTTTCTTAGAGCAGGTACCACCTACCACAGGGCTATGACCATCTTAAATGCTCATTCACTCTGACCTAGCAGTTCTTTCTTTGTAGAAGAAACATTTGTTCATGTACACAAAGACAAATACATAAAAATCTTAATGGCAGTACTATCCAGATGGCAACAGGTTGCAAAGTATCTAAGTGCTCAACCACTGGGAGCTGGCTGAATGAGTCATTATAAGGCAGGAGTAGCCAATAGCTGGAGAGGAGGGTGAAATGCCTTGGAGCCCGCTTTCTGGGCTAGACCTAACTTTTGAGTTAAACTTTAACTCAGGCCCAGAATATCCAGATCTAAATACAGTAGGAGAAAATAACCGGGGAACCCTACTCACACATAATAAGTCAACTGGTGGTCTTCAGCAACTCTTCACCAACCCAGGCTCTACCATATCTTTAACAATGCTATTTTGACCACCACCCCACACCCTGGTGGCCTCTGGGTGCCATGACAGTTCCCCCAAGGGCCATAAGAGGTCAAAAACTCCACTGCCTGACAGAGGGGCAGAGTTAAGGTGCTCACTGCTAAGACCAAAACCTAAAACAACTCTTTAATCCCACTCCAAACTCTAATGTTTAAAACCCTCAATACAAAGCCCTCTCTGGGTTGTGAGTTCTGATTGGCCTGCTCTCATCCTATGCACTGTAATTTCACAGTCAATAAATCTTTGATCTTTAGTCTAAGATCTTGCTGCTCCCTTTTGTACAAGATACCAAGAAACTTGAAAAGACCCCTGATCTGGTAACAACCACATATGTATAAGTCTGCAGGACTAACTGGGAGCTAATCAAGGCATTCTGATAAGTGAGGGAAGGGAGCAAGTCTGCAAAACAATGGACTTAGTATAAGTACACGTTTACCAGAACT